ACCAGTTAATTCATTTTAGTAAAATGGACATCCACTAACAACCTCTCCCAGCTTAAACCAAACTTACATGACTTAAAAGATGAGAATTCATGTTTACTTTATTGGGATGTTGCTGTTTTCACGGACGTCTTCAAAGTTAGGACATAGAGCTTCAGATTTAGCGATGAGTACCTTTTTCCGTGTTTACGTAGCCTCATCTAAACACGTGAGGGGTTGGGAGAATTCGAGATAGTTATTCAAACCCTAGACACAGGTCAAGGTTTTCAAAACGTTTTAGTATTCTTCCAACTCCTCAAGTGTTTAGATGAAGCTATGTAAACTCGAAAAAGTACACTATTGCTTTTGTAAAATATTTCTGAAAAATACGTGCGAATCTAAAACGTCACAACCGTTTTTACATACGTTCATCTAAACCACCTATCGACCAATCAATGGGAGTGCGCGTACTATCTTAGTTATTTTATTAAATCACTTCTCAGTAATCAATTGGCCATTTCTGCAATTCATTGACTCCTGACACCCAGCATTGTCCAGAGGGGGAGGGGGGGTGAATTGGATTTCGGTTTTAGGGAAAAATAAGAGTGTCTCAAACGTTTTGGCCAGGATTGAAGGCATTCACCCGCCATTCACCTTCATCCTTCACCTGTCAGTCTGAGAATGTGTATTGCATTTCTTGTCATCGCTGCAATTGCCTATACATCGGAGAGACTGAAAGGCGGCTAAGAGAACGTTTCAGCGAGCACCTCCGCGGTTTTCAAAACCGATCCCGTGGGTTTCCCGTAGCGCAACATTTCAACTCCGCCTCCCACTCTGTGGATGATATCATGGTCTGTGGCTTGAAACAGTGCTCTGGCAGCAACATCAGCCGCAAGCAGCATAAAATGAAATTAATCTTCAAACTGAGCACGCTTAGACCCAACGGATTGAACATTAACTTTAATTTCTTGTGACTATGTTTCCAGCGCGTATTCCACATACGCGCGCTAAAAATGTGGTTTTCCTATGTTGCAGCACGCCTTTGTTTACTTTGTACTTCGTGCGCGCACTTTCCGAGCTTGCGTACGCGTACAGTTGTTTGTATGGCGTGGCTTGATCATTCCACCTACTGAAGAAGAGCCAAGCACAAAATGTTTAATTTACAAGCAACTATTTGACACTTTTCAGAGCCTTTTGAGACTCATATTTAATTCAAGATATGTCCTTAAGTACAATCACTGCATGAGATGTCAAATAAATCAAGAGATGGTATGGCCAACGAATAGTCAGAAACAACTCTTTGATAAAAATTTGGACAGCATGGAACTTCACTTTAAGTTACAGTTTTCAACCCGTTGGTTTTTGCAGTACAGGGGCTTAGCGCTTTGCACCCAGAGGGCCCTTACAGGGCGTTTTCTCGAAGTTTACCTGTAACTCTCAAGCATTGTACTGTACTTGACAAGAAAAGAGTGTTTAGGCCAGAAAGAAATCTCTTACTTGTGAAATTGACTTGGAGTTCTTTCACGTCAGTTCCATACTGGTTGATGGCCTGGCAGGTGTAGTTTCCATCCTTGTCCAGACGGATGGTTGCAGTGTTTGTTGTATTCACCAGTACTGTAGAGTTCCGTATCAGTGCTGTGTATATGGGAGGAGTTCCTCTGGCTGAACATGACAGCATGCCTCCTTGTATTGCTAACAGAGCAGCTGGGAATGTTACCATTGGTGGAACTAATCGGTTAGAAATAAAAACCTTTTACCCTTAATATTCATTGACTGAACCATACCTGCTTACATTAATTTTAAACAAATCAAATCTTGCTGTAATACATGCAAAAATTACATCAAAACGCTGCTTTAGTTGTGAAGCACACATATATATATGTAGATATATTTGTGGAGCAAGGTCAAGTTGCCTGCTCAAAACAACCCAGAGAAAAAAGAACTTCTGATATGTGTGAGATAATTATAAAACATGAACTGTGCATGGAGTGTAAGTGAAGAAATGATCCTGGCAACAGATTACTATTAAACAACACAAATTTCTTCCATTTTCTGCTCAACTGTAGCTATTGGGTGGAAAGAAAGCTGATGTAGTTTGTTTTGCCCAGAAGGCCTTGCGCGACAGAGTCCTAAAAGGTAAGGCCTAAAAACTGTCAGTGCATGCCTGCTCTTAGATTGCACACGTTACTTACGTTATTTGCGGTCGACGGAAAAGAACAGAAGACATCCGTCTACCGGAGAAGGTAACGAGTCAACGATTTCAGGTAGAAACTATTTACAAAGTGCATCGTATTATTTATCAGCTACCTTGTCTTATCGATGTCTGTATCTGGGCTTCATTCAATGCAACATCGTAAACTTTCATTTCCGCGACTTTCCCTTTGAAGTATCTATTATCGTTAACTCTAACCCCCATTCGAACTTTGTCGGCGTTGGTTGCGACCGCATACCTTCTGCGTATGCGATTCGAGACATTTAAATGTCCATTGATAAACAGAGAGCTAATTCTGATATGATAATTGTACGTTGCTGCAACATGAACCCACACTCCAGTTGGAAGAACCTCCGAACTTAACAATCCAGAGGCCGGCAGATCAGAGAGGCTTAGATTAAATCTGCCCCGGTCAATCCATATCTGGACTCCCCGGCCATCTTTTCCGTAACTGAATAATGGTCCATCTTGGCCTCCGGGTCGAACCCAGCACATCAATGTGATTGAGAACCGAGTGTCCAGGCCCCCTGTATTCGGAAACTCGATGTAGCTGCTAACAATGCCGTAAAACATGTACGCTCCGCCTGGTTCGTTGTAGGGTCCGTTTGTAATCGCAACATCTCCCAGGATTCCCTTTGGCTGCCTGTTCTGTTTTTCTGCGGCTTTATAGGGTGTATTCAAGGGATAGAGGGCAACAGGTTCTGGAACAGCTAAGAGTAAAAAAACAAAAACATTATTTACGTTGTCAAAAATAACAAGAAAATACGATAGCAGTAGAAACATTCTATAGGACAGGAAATTCCGCATTGGTTCTCTGTAGTCATCTTAACCCGCCTTTTGGAATTGGCCATCAGGAGTCGAAGTATTTTGAAACACCTAACGACTGGCCAAAAGGGAGAAGTGAGCTTTGTTTCCCGGAGACCCTACCAGTAGACCCAAGGACAGTGTTGTGGGTGTTACGGAAACTTTACTATTATTGAACGAGAACTTGTATAAGGGCTTATATTCGAAACTGCATAATTACCGATGGCAAGATATTTCATTAACGCCTAATGGCGACAACAGCTTCAACCTGGTACTTTCACTTAGCAAGGACGTACGACTTGAAACCGCGTGAAATCAATTTAATGGGAGGCCTTTCGAGTTTGTGGAGGGAAGCAAAGTTTTTGATAGTTGCTCCTTACGTTTTCGAGATGAAAAGTCCTTTGGGCATTCAGAAATTTCACTTGCCTCAAAGGAGGCTCTCTCGATGCAGAATTCGAGAATTCAAAGCTTCGTTAAGTGTGTTGCAAAATTTCAAATTTGCATCGTTTTCTAAAGTCATTATTTATGTCTAAAGATGCCGTGCGATCAATATTCTTTGGATTGATTGATTCTCTATATCGATTTCTATCGCCCCCGCAGTTACTCTCGCAGAAACACGCCTACTCGCTCTTTTTCAGTCTTGGTTTGATAATTGTTCAAGAAATATCTACCTTCTGTGCCTTGACACGTTTTAAAGTTATTATCATCATAGCATCTCCTGGTGCATTTCCGAGGTACCTTAAGCCTTTCTATCAAAACGTGGCCTGGTTCACAACCATTCATATATAAATGAGTTTAATTTGCATGTGAAGGAAATCTCGTTTTCATATGAAAGGATGGGCATTGATACCAAGACCACACTATTTTTAACGATTTGTCGAAGCCCCGGAACGTCCAGGTACAAACAATCCAAGTTCACGAAATCGAAGTTCAGGTTTGCTACGACAAGTACACAAGGCTATGAGAAAATGAAAATAAATAGAACTAATCGATAAGCAGAAATTACGAAACTTACCGACTGTGTCGTTCTAAGTGTCACAATACGGCTTGATAATAAACGTCCACTTCCATCATCGACAACTACTTGGGTTAGGCTACTCACACGTGACTGACACATGACACACCGGACGCGGCTCCGTAATACGTGCAAAACGGTAGCTACAGGCACCAACACTCGCTTTAAGAAATAGGCTAAAGATAAAGTATCAACTCATCTCCTCCGTTGACTCGAAAGGCCTTCAAGCATCAAACTCCTCATCAATTATCATTTCTGAAAGAGTGTCAAAACAGCTGTGAAATTCATTTGTCACCACAAGCTCTATGACAATGTCAGGAGCCTATGACAATGATTGAAAAAACCTGTTTTAACGTATTGGAAATCGGAAACTCGTGTTTCAGTTTTTCGACGTGGAATTAAAATTTTGGGAATTACTTAAGAAGGAGATAAATTTGGTAAACTTGATAAGCTTAAAGGGCATGTAAACCCAAAAATACGAGTTTTTCTTATTCGACGCAAACAGCAACGTAGAAAACGAATTTGGCATTTATTTTGCTCGTTTGGGTTTCGTTAAGGAGAAAAACAGCTTTTACGAGAAAAAATCCACTTCCGGTGAAAACAATGGCCATCTGCCATGACGTAAGCGGTGGAACACAAACATTGCGCAATAGGGATTCCATATGAGAATTCTATGGCGGATCGGGAAAGTGGGAGTAGCTCGGAAGATCTTT